ATTTGGCCTTACTGAATTTCAGAATGTTCTTCTCTGCCCTTCTCTCCAACCTGTCGAAGTCCTTCTGAAGAGCTACACAGCCCTCTGAGTTATTGGCCACTCCTCCCAGTTTTGTATCATCAGTGAACTTGCTGAGGAGGCTCGTTATTCTCTCATCCAGGTCACTGATGGACAAGTTAAACAATACTGGGCCCCATATAGAACCCTGGGGGACACCACTAGTGACAGACCTCCAGCTAGTCTCTGTGCCACTGATCACGACCCTCTGGGATCTGCCATTCAGGCAGTAATGAATTCATGACTTCCAGGTCAAGCTGGAAGTGATAAATTCTCCAGCCCAGACTTCCAGATGTTCCACAGAAGGGTGAGCTTTGTCTGGCATTGCAACAATCTGATAAGTTTTACAAGTACTGTTTTAAAGGCAGAAAACTGGACTGAAGGGTGCAGTGACCCAGGGTTGTGTCCCAGAGAATCTGAATATATCTTACAGCACACAGCATATGCCAGAATCTTTTTCTATATTCCACATTTCTGATGTAAGATATAAAGGGATGGATGGTGTTATTCATGTGAAGCAGAGCATGAAGAGAACCTGTTCCAGAAGCAATCATCTCTAAGTATTTGCTAAGTTTCAGGATCTCTGTTCTTTGAAGAGGAGCGAACACTGATCCTGAGAGTGGTGCCCACCTCACACAGAGCAGACAGGAAAAGGTACAGTTTTAGCTCGCTTTCCCACCAGCTCATTCATCTGGAAGCAGGAGGAAAATGAGACCTCTCAATTCTTTTTGGCACATTGCCCTTATTTTTTTCATTGGCATGCATGCCAAAGAATTCCACACAACAATTCTACTGATACAAGATTATGCCAGCCTCGTATTGCAGTAAAAACCTTTATAGACATATTCCAAATGCTAGTCAGGGAAGCACTTGTTAGTGCTGCTACGTAGACTTAGCCTTTCTCTAAGTACAGTACTTCAGGTACTTCAGACCCTTTGGATCCATCTCCTCATCAGCTGCATCTTAGAGCCTGCATTTATCTCAGAGGTAATTGCAATTCTGTGTATTTGGTAGCAACAAAGTTATTCTTGAACATTAAAACCAGGTTTGATCTTGAGATAATATTTTCCAAAGGCAAGGTCCCTTGAGGCAAAAGAAATAGTTTGATCTGTTTTCTAGAATTAAATCTTAAGTCTTCTTTTTCAGCTATTTCAGCACATACTTTGAACTCTGAAAATGCACAAAATAGAAATAATTTTTGAGAAAGAAAACTAGATTTTGATTGCCTGACTTTTTCTGATCTACTTAGTGTCCCTTCTACAAGAATGTCTAGTTGCTTCTACCTGCTAGCATGAAAAAAAAGCAGAAAAAACACTATCAAATACACAGCACAATTTAAAGATTCACTTACTGCACCAAGAAACCTGTAGGTGACAAAGTAGTAGGAGGCAAACTTGGTTCACCTGCTGATTAAAGCTCAATGACAAAGAGGGTGGTAAGTTCAGTCTTCATAGCAAGACACTGCTGAACTCAAAAAAAGTTCAAAATGTTCCAATTCTCTTTTGAACTATCTACTGAACTTTAACTTCTCCCCCATGCTGAACCGACTTTAAACAGAGGGTTCACAGAGTGTAACTGCTGAACCAAGTATTGGTATACCTAGAGTGTTTCTCAACAGGCATGACAGATTTGTGAAACTTACTAAATTGTGTACACTTCCTCATTGTGTACCAGACGAAGGTCAAAGCTGCTGAGCTTCCCTGTAACCCCACAGGAAAACACTACAGGTATCCTTTCTATTTTAGTTAATGGAGATTTGCTTATGTATAAAAAAAGAGCTTGAATTTTCTTCATGGCAAGTATTGTATAGCTAAAATATACACTGAATCAGACAGCAAAATATAAGCACTGAACACTTCCAATATTTTGTAAATTATGGGGATATAGCAATAGAGTTACATCAGTGTGCTGATGTAACTTTCTCAGTTACCAAAAAAAACCAAAACAAAAACAATAAACAAACAAACAAACAAACCACAAACAACAAGGCCACTCAAACCACCTGACAGATCAACAAATTTGTCTGTATTTTAAAACTTCCTTTTTAATAGCAATGTTTTTGGATACTAAAAACACTTTCTTTTCCTTTCAAGCATTTTTCTGGCATTATTTTGCTTGCACACTTAATGCACAAACTTTTGGGGTGGGGAATCACGTGCTTTTCTCCAACCAACAACAGTAAACACACCTGCTCTTTTATTTCAAATTTGATATACATATAAAACATTGTTGATTAGCAATCTTCATCCACTGAAATGACACCCAATCAAAGCCTTTTTCAAAAACTTGTATGCAGCTAACACTGTCATGTTTTCCTGCTTCGTTGTCATACCTGTTAAGCCAAATGCAAAGTTCTCTTAATAATAAAAAACAATGGCTATAGTTGAAGAGTGACGATCTCTTTTTTTTTTTTTTGAAAATGAGAAACAGCCTATTGAATGTGCTCTGTTCTAAAGCTGAGGGCCAAAGGCAGAAGGAAGTGTGTTGCCCCTTCCCTCATAACTTACACAGGGACCAAGTTATTCTTGAAAAATGTGAATGTTTAATCATATTTTTTTTGTTTGTCTCTCCTGGACGAAAGAAAACATGGATGCAAAATGCAGAATTTACCAAATGCTGCCTGAACCTCTAGATTACTTATCGTAATCAGAAAATTATCACCAACATCTGTAAACATACTTGTTGTTGTCTGAAGTTCTTTTTTATGGCCACACACATTTGCTATCACTTTTCTGACAGCACTTGCATTCAATGTACCTTTATACCTAGACAGCTATCATCACTTGTCTTTGGAGCTTGAGCTTGGTGATTCATGTTGAGACTTCCTCTGTTCCAATTTCAATACAAAAAAAGATTGCATAAATGGCACTTGGGCAAGACTATGCAAAGCACTGACATCCATGTCACTTTAAATTTCACTTGACATTTCCTTCAGCTTACACCATCCTTCTTTATGCAATTTCATAAACACTAAGTGCTCCCAGGAAACGTTCCTCACTGCCAAATCACATACACCTCCCCCAGGTTAGAGTAACTGTTTCCAAACACTGCAAAATGCTCTTCTACTGCCTCGTGTTGTGTGCTGATATAACTTTCTCAGTTACAAAAAAAAAAAAGAAAAAAACAAAGCAAAACAAAACACAAGGCAGTAGAAGAGCATTTTGCAGTGTTTGGAAACAGTTACTCTAACCTGGGGGAGGTGTATGTGATTTGGCAGTGAGGAACGTTTCCTAACACTGCAAAATGCTCTTCTACTGCCTTGTGTTTTGTTTTGCTTTGTTTTTTTCTTTTTTTTTTTT